ATGGCGGTTTTTTCGAAAATCTCGGCACTCTGCTCGCAGAAAAAGTACGTGTCCAAGAACAAGCAGAAGGTCCTCTTCCAGAAAAAAAGGATGAAATTCAGGAAGAAGATGAGACTTTGAGTGAGGAAGGAAGCATCGATGAACCAACTGAAGCTCTGTTAGAAACTGATAGTGATAGAGATGAAAATGAACATGCTCAAAATTTTTTGGCGGAATCGATGGGCTTAAACGTGAGTAATAAAGTATTTAAATCATTACTAATCTAAAGTAAATTATAAATTTTTAAGTATATATAAATATTTTACTGTCATTCAAATAATAGAATGTCACTGCAATTTTATCTCACTTTATATAATCGCACTTTTTTAAATAAAAAGTTGCTACTTTTAAAGCTGGATGTATAGCAAATAGTAATTGGTAAAATAGCATAATTGGTAAAATTAAACAACTCTCTTTTAAATTCAAATATAGGATTTAATATCAATAATACTCTGCCAATCTTGAAAAACTTAATAAATCTTCTCTTAAAGATAACACTATCATTTCATTTTGAGATTCTAATTCGTGATAGATTATTTCATCATATACTTCAAGATATTAACGAGTACTTTCGGCAAGAAAACAAGTTCTCACACGTTAACGGTACACAGAGTGTATCTGAAAATATTTCGAGCAGCTCCATACTGCATTACGTCAATAGATAACGGTGTAGTCTGTTTAAGATCGAAATGGCTCTGTGTACAATTCTAAAGAGAACTTTTATGTAACGCGTTATACATACACACGCATACACAACGCACATAATTAGATACAGATTCACCGACATGGGAGAGTGACTTAGAAATGTATTAATTCCCTTATAAAGTAAAATTATAAAAATTTCCTTGACATACTCAATGTATATTTTTAATATACAAATATTTAAATAATTTCTTAAAAACTATAACAAATAACAAAAAGCTTAATAATTAAAAATAAAAAATAGAATAATATAAGTATTAAAATTTGATCGATTTGATCGAAAGAACAACTGTAAATTAATGAATAATAAATTTCCGTTATCTTGTTAGCAATTTCATAAATACGCATGATGCAGCTACCTTATAAATCTGTTGCGTGACTTTGAATGGAATTCGTTTTCTCGGTTATTGCTATATAATATAGATAATATTTTCGTATTTATAATAGACGTTCATAATTTATGCTCCTATTCGTTGGATCGAAACTTCATATTTTCTGTATATTGCTATATGTTCCATCTCGTGATTATAACGACCGGTAGCAATATTGATTTTTCCAAAGGTCTCAGTCTGGTAGGGAAGGTAGTCGAAGTTAGACAGTCCCATGCGTTGCCATGCGAGACACTGACTCAAGATTGTTTTCTTTATCTATTCCAATTTTATCTCTAAATTTATTTAGTGCAATATAAAATTATGCATTTGACCGAATTCAATAAACCACTTTTTTTGGAAATGAATGAAAAAGAAAAGAAGCGCGTAAGTTTGGCATCAATTAAATCATTAACACATTGTTATCATTTGCACTATAATTCTAACTAATTAAACTAATTAAATTTAATTAAATTTAAAGCTATTAATTTAGTGCATACACTTGTACATAATTTGAAAAAGAATATCTTATTATTTTTATTCCAAATCATGAATAGTTTGCTTATAAGCAATTCATTATTATAGTGAATAAATCCTTTCATACATTTCTATAATTTATTTGGCCACGTGCAGTGTTCCAATAAATATTCCAATAAATTTTTATTGATTCAAGAATCACTCGTTTGTTCTGAATAAAATCGAACTTTGATACAAAATGATCATTGTCAGTTAAAATGCTGTATTATATATATATATGTACACGTGCGCGATTCATTTTTAATCAATCAAATATTTTTATTATCCAATCAATATAAAGTACTATAATATTTGTCAAAATGCTATTAACAAGTTACAAAAGATGAATTCAGATATAATGAATTGTAGAGAAATCTAGAAATTAATTAAATAATTACATTTTGATATCTTTATATTACAAACAATTTACATATAATTTAATTATAAGACATATATGGTACATATCAATCGTCTTAATATGATATAATTATTATCGTTTGCGCACCTTCTGTACATCGGGGTGTTATGCCCCTATGCTTAATCGAGCAGTTAAATTCAATCTGAAATGAGACCCACGTGTTCGTGCGTTAGCAAATACACTAATACAAAGTCATCTAGTCGATGTACGACGACTCTGATCTGTTGGTCCATCTATTCCTGGCAGTGTGGAGCTCGACTCCGTCAAGTTCCTGTCTTGTCTTCTCACGCCGATTATCCTGGCCACTTCCTCTAGCTTCATTGCTAATTGTTATAGTTCGATTAATTAATATCTTCAAAATATACTTACATAAAAATATTCTAGAAACTTATAAACGCAGTGAGAACTTCTGTGCTTCTATTAATGAGTTAATGAGTGATAGTTAGCAAAACATGACAACAAATTTTACGTTTAATTAATTTTTTTAACTATCGATCTTAATATTAAAGATTTTCAGTGAATTACACAAAAAATGTGAGGATTACTAAAATTTAAAATGAGTGATATTCAGTTTTTTATTAAGTGTTGTGATTTGTGTGCTCTTTAAAAAATGCATATTATCAAGGCATTATATGTGTGTAAATACTTTGTTGATAAAATTTAACTGTGATGATTTGATTGAAAATGATTGACTGTATCAAACAGATTAATTTTAATATAAATATAAAAACGAGTTACGTTTAAAACATTTTTACATAACATTTTAAATATAACTAATTAATAACTAATAACTCGTGTATACATAATACAAGAAAATTAAAATTAAGCAAAAAATTGTGATCTTAAAGAAAATTTTAAAAATGACTTAGATAATAAAAAATAAATAAATGTGAGTTAATAGTACAATAATTCAATAAAAGTGTATACAATTTTTATAATTTAATGCATTTACAAGTTATAATATTTGAGTATTTAGTTTTATTTTGCTAAATCATAAAAATAAATCAGCACTTGAAAAATCGGGTTAGAATGTTTCCTTCTTCTATTCGATAGCCTCTTGAAAAACTGGCAAATTGTCAGAGCGCAGTTTAAAAACGAAACGAATTATAACATGGTCGCACTTTTTAATATTAATTCTTCTATTTCCATTATCAATAAATATAATAAATCTCAAAGCTAAATCGATTGTTTTATTATTTAATTGTATGAATTTTATATTAATACAGATTTTTAAAAATCCAAATTTTTAATGTTACTAACAAATTTTTAATAAAATTTTTGATTAAAATTATCATAATACATAGTTATGAACGCGAATAAAATAAAGTATAAGTTATTTAAATATAATAGTATTGCAAAACATAATTTTGTAATTACTACGATGACGAAAGATGTGAAATAGTTGAAGTCTTAAACGAACTCATCTTCGTCGAAAAATAGAATCGGTATTGGAGTAGGCGTAAGGAGTTGGACCGTCTCAAAATTGCATAATTCTACAAAAATTAAAATGAGAACGGGAAGGACGATGTATCTTCATAACATTCACATATTTTGCTTATCATATAACGTGCCTTGATAGTCAATGAACTAATTGTCAGTATATCAGCTTTCATTGGACGCAATTGTGCGAACATATGAACGCATTGTGGTTGTATTTGTCCCGTAGGTCAACTCTAAACGGGATACGACACAGTTCTTTCGTGTTCAGATTCGCCCGATTGTTTTCATGCTGTGCACGCAATCGTTTTTTCCAAAGAATCTTGTTCTGTTTTTATAACACTAGAACATAACAGGCGCGCACCACTAAGCTTTTCATATTATATATTTTTATTATTCGTTGATGGTAGCGACGTACCGTCGTGATGAAAAATAGAAACTCATTCATCCTTGTTCAGCTTATCTTTGTCCTTGTTCAAAACCGAAATTTCATTCGCTACTAACCTCACTCGCCTTTTACAAATTGTCATTTATAAATTGACAGTAACTCACGAAATTAGCGCAGCAAAAGAACTAATCAGCATCGCGGAAAAGCGGCAACAATAAACTTCGAGAAATGCGAATTATCATCTCTTAACGATGCGACTTAACATCTCCTTTTTATAAAGGATAGAATAAAATCAAATTAATACAAAACAGATATTGCAATATAAAATTATTAATTATTAATATGTATTAAATGTTTATGATTTTAGTGCATTTTTGTCAATATTACAAACAAGACATAACCCAAACTTAGTCTTATTGTCAAAATCTTACTCTTGGCAACTAGATTTGCCAATGAACATTGATATTGAAGGCCTCCGTCCCAATTTTTATCTTGGCATAAACAAAGATCTTAACTTTATCTTTATTAGAAATTAAAATTTCCGCTTGTGGATGGCAGAATAAAGAAAAATAAAGAAATTAAAATTTTTATATAAATAAAAAACATGGAAGAAAGTAAAAGAAAATAATGTATCAAAATTTTAACAATTCAATAGAACATGTTGATGTATTTTTTATCACTGTAAATTAAAGTATATTAAATATGCACATAATATAAAATTTATACGCAGTTTATTAATAGCGTTTAAATTAATTTTTTATTTTGATCTTGCAAGGAGTGCATAAATTTCATTAATTTATTGTTAGTATGATTCATCTATATAAAACTTTCGAAATGTTCACAATATTATGGACTATTCCAGAAAGTATGTTATTTCAAGTCTGTGAATAGTTTATTTAGAAAATATTTCTTTGAAATTGATGGTACAGAACTAGCTATTTTAAGCACACATGTTATCACATTATTCTGATCACTTTTCTGCTAAAAGTACATTGAAAAATGTTAGAAAATTAAAGTAGCAATAGCGTAGTTGTACTGAATAATATTACATAATAATAAGCTTGTCATTATTTATATATTATTTAATTTATTACATTATTTAATTTGTAAAACATGTATTAAAAATTAAATTAGTAAAACATGTATTATTGACCGATGTAATAATTCAGTGTTTACCAACAATTCCAAATTTATTATAACGCAAACATTTATCTGTTTCCTTAAAAAACATATAGCATTAATAACATGTTTTGACGCCGATGTCGACAATAAATTCTTAATTATCTGTGAATGCATAAAGAAGTTGTTTTCAAAGAAACTTTATTTGTTAACATTACGTACACTAGAAAAATAATTAATTTTTGATGTTGAAATATAATAACCGTATATAATGCAAAATGAAAACTACGAGATGTGTTGCAATAAGAATTTCAATATCAATTTTTTTCTAAGCTCACTCTTAACATAATTATACGCGTTCACGCATGCTTATATGCATGCTTATGTCAGATACTCTCAGTGATATCGCTCTAATTCCATAGCATTACGATTTATATTTATTTCAATCGATGACAATCGTTGATTATGCATACGAATCGAATATGCGACGACTCGGCGTATTGTCGATAAGAAAGGTCGTGGCCATCGTGGAAGTTCATCTTTGGCCGAGTGCGTTTAATACCGCAACGAAATTCGTCGATCGCGTGTACGATAAATTGACATGCTCTCTCTCTCTGACGGCAGTAGCACATAAAACGTTTTCGGAAAATTATCTTTGGCTAAAATAATAATTCTTTATTACAAGTATGCAAAGGTCAGTGCGCGAAATTCTTTGTCTTCACGCAAAGTCCGAATGTGTCCGCGTGAACAAATTCGACGTCTAATTGAGGCCAGGACCGCTAGTGTATGAACGTCATTGTTCTTAGCAAACAACATGATCTTCTGTCTTGCATTTCCTCGGGTCATTGTCGTGCCGTTCTAGATTCCTATTCCTTAGATCTACTATCCGTTATCGTCGTCACAGCTGTTCGAGACGAATCGTCTAAAAGAAAATTGCCGGCTTGACACTTAAAAGCAAAAGAATTACGATTAGGCTGTATGTTCAATAATAATCGCGTTTGACAAATAATGTGCGAGTCACGGAGTACTTTGTGAAAACTTTAAAATGTGTAATCCAATGTGAACTATATAACAGTCTGTTTAATTTTTATGAGTATTGTTTGCGAGTTTAAAAAGTGAATAAGTATAAAAGATTCAGTATGGTGAGCACAAATCCGCCTATAGGGGCGGCCACCCTCAACCGCATGAGAAACACATTTTGTGGAGTACCAAAAGCTGAAATTGAACGTAGAACTAATGCGCTTTTGCAATCCATGACGGTGAGTCTAATTACAACCGCCAGACGGTTGTAATTAATGATAAGGAAAATTTGCAAAACTGTTTATTCGAAAAAAAAACGCAAGTAATATCTTAATAAAAAGTTTTATCAATATTATTTTGACTTTTATACTCTTTTTTTATGTTTATATCTTATATCAACTGTATTCAACTATATGTTTTTATCTTATAATGTTTTAATTTCTTTGTTTTAAAGAAATATTAAAATTTAAATTAATGTAAATTTATTTTAAATAATTAAACTGGAAATGTCAATATTTATTAATAATTTAAAAAATTTGAACTGCATCTTATA